ATATTGAAAGGAATGACATTCATTGGATATGCTCCCCTGTTGTTGTGAGTATGGCTCCCATTGCTTCGAACGCAACTCTACTGTGGCCCGCATGGCATCCTGGGGTGTTCTCTTCGAAACTTTGCAGAGAAAAGGCTCCGGCTCATCCATGTGGATGCAATGTTTAGTGCAGGCTCTGCCCTCTAACATAGCCCACATAGGATGGTCCAGCACGTTGAAATCAAGGGATAGGAGAGCCATTCGTTTGAGGATGTGAAATCGGAAAGAGTGCCTTAACAGCGCTCCTGAACAATTTTTGCCTCCTATGCAGAAGCTGGGTCCTATTGAAAAGATCATCACCCCTCCTCAAAGTGGCTAGATACCTCAGTAACAGATGGTGCACCGAAATGTCCCTTGGCTCGATCTAGTATCAAGTTGTATTCCTTTGTAAACAGGCAGTGATGGTGAGCGACCGGTAGTTGAGACCCTGTCCAGACCATGATAAGGTTCGGCTGCTGCTTGTGGCGAATATTCCTTTCACTCTCACTGACTTCCTCAAGACCTCATGCGGGCATCCTCGGAAGTTTGAAGATTGTAGCTCCGCTCCATGTGAGGAATTTTGTCGTCGATGAAAACGGTGCCCGCATAATCGCCATTTTCGGCCCTCGACACCAGCTCTTTGAACTTTTTGTCTCTGCTGTGCTCCTCCGTTGAACTTATCATGGACTGAGAGCACACGTTAGGCCAGCCACGCACCACATCCCGCGGTGGGCGGGACCAGCTGATGAAACGAACCCATCGCTGTAAGTAGTAGGCCAGAGGCCTTGACGGCGCGCAATCTCGAGTCAGGAGTGTGGCATCACCCCTCTGAGCGCATTCCTGGAAATATTAGTGATGGAAAGGCCTTCTATGGTCACCTAATCCTGACTCGTGGCTTTAAACAAGCGATCAGTAAAAGCAATTGTTGTGTTTTATTGCAATTGGCAACCACAATAGGGACAGGTTGAAATGTTGCTTTGAACCTACAGGAATCTCGTTGTTTTGGACATGATCGTCCAACGTTATCCAATTGGCTTTTAGTGGAATCCTTATGCCACAAGTTTACCAACTATTTCTGAGGGAGTTTTTTTTTTTCAAAGCCTACATTCCTGCACGCTTAAACGAAGCAAACGAGAACGCTTGCGTCTCAGCACTACGAGGGAAACAAATAACCAGAAGGACAAAATCATTATTCGCTGCCATCGCGGTGTTTTCAGATTATATATGTCCGGAAGATTGTCCCCTTTGATCGTGTGATGGCTCGGTTCTCTTCGTGAATAGTGTCACTACCCAAAATGTGACGAACCCATTAGGAATGGTCAGTGTAGTGGCTTGAACCAAGTGTTGGATGATTGGAGCGCTCCAGTACGTGGCAGCGTACTTAGCATCACGAATCTCGGGGTACGAGCGTTGCACCAGCGAATCGATCTGTCTACCAGCGGTTGAACGATGTACCAGCGACTTGACGCTGTTCGGAAGTGGCGAGGCTCCCTTTAAACGTTGGCTCTCGCAATTTTCGCGGCCTCATGTCATAGTTTGCGAATCGAGCGATTCGCTAGCGAATCGCTGGATCCGAGCGTTGCGCCAGCGAATCGAACTTTGCGCCAGCGAATCGAACGATGCACCAGCGAGTCGAACGATGTACCAGCGACTCGACACTGTTTGAAAGTGGCGGGACCCAACGTTTAAAGGAAGCCCGCCACTTTCAAACAGTGTGGTCCTTTAAGTGGACTTCCTTTAAACGTTGGGTCCCGCCACTTTCAAACAGTGTCGAGTCGCTGGTACATAGTTCATTCGCTGGTACGTCGTTCGACACGCTGTTGCCAACCGGCCAAAATCTGTCACCGGCCTCGCACCAGTGGGGTGTGGTTCACTAGGACAGAAAGCAACTTCTTCCGTGATTCTCAGCGCGAAACATTTCGCTGCAGGAACTCAGATCCACTTATGATTGGCGGTGGATAAGTTTCCCGCAGCGAAATGTTTCGCGCCGCGAAGTCACGGAAATGCGCTTTCTGTCCTAGTGAACCACACCCGCACCGATGTGCATTTCTACGCCTATTTTTGTTACCGTGTGCAATTACGGTCCACACGCGGGACGTCACGGCTCTATACAAGTGGGGTGGGCACGCCCAGCTTTTCACGCATGTCAAGTGACTGCCCTCACCCCCACCCCCTAGATTGGCTACACTCCCCTGGCTCACGAATTCCCCGATTCTCGTGACAGTATAGTAGCGGGCAGCAGTCCCACTTACATACATTTCTGTTCAAAAAATGCGGCGTGCCCACCCTACTTGTATAGCACCGGCGTCACTATTAAACTGTGCAGAATTAGCTCATTAAACGCACAGCAGCAAATCTCCTCAGTTACTGCTTCATTACTTCGTTAAAAGAATAACAGCCAATCCCCTCAGTCAGTTTGTAAGATTGCCACAGGGGAGCTCATTTGAGCGACTTGCACGTGTGTGTGAGGATCGTCACTAGGGACAGGATGCGGCTGCCGCCGTCAAATAAAATGTACCTACGCGGCAATGCACACATGTACCTCACGTGCAACGGGTCTAAAATGGGGAATGGTGAGTTGCTACGTGACACAACGTTTCGGCAAATATGATATGACAGTCTTGGAGATGGAACTTGATTTTGCTAGGAACGCAGGAGTCAACCTTTCCCCTCAGTAAGACTGTGAATGGTCACTAGTATTCTTCTTGAGGTTTCCAATCGCAAGTTGTAGACCTCACCTTGTCTTTCACTGCACTGTACTTTACTATGTGTCACAGTTAAGGTGTTTCATGCACTCCTTTGTATGTTCGGCCTCCACCTGGCTCGCACAATGTTCCTCCGTCTCCGAGAGATCATACCCATATTTGCCAAAACGCTCCAAGCCTTTAACCCCATTTTTCAAACGTTTTGCGCGTAGGGTATAGCGCAGTGTGTGCATTGCCGCGGCGGTA